TGAGTTTAAGCTGAAGTAAACCCCACGAAGTTCAGGGGAACGTGCTTCAGGTGGTGTTTGTGCAATGGGGGAGGGGGGATGTGGCCCTGCAGATGTGGTTGGATTGCAATTCCCATCAGCCAGGAGAGCCCATGCAGAGGAACGACAGCTGCAGTCCAACAACATCTGAAAGGCCGTACATTTCCCACTGCTGCAAGATTGCAGTGTTAGAAGAAGACGACACCAGACTGGGATCACCTGTGTGTGAGCCTCAGTGAGCTGTGGTGGCCCAGGCTGACTCTAGCCAGGCGACCTGCTCACGTGACCCTGGGTGCGTTTCCAGAGCAGAAGATCCGGTGGATGGCCTTTCAGGAGAGCTGCACAGGCCACCTTGCGAGCCTGACATGGCTCTCCGGAGAAGATGCCTGCCTGGCCACGTGGTTTGCATGAGCTCCAAGACATCTGCCCCAGAAGACGTGGTTGAGCTGGTGAGGCGGCAGAGGCCCTCCAAGAGACGGGTGGAGGGAGACCCAGCCTCCCTTTTGCCCCCCCCCCCCCCACCCAGGGCAGAGGATAAGCCCTTCCTCATAGGAGGGAAGCCCTGCCACCCCAAAGTGGCCTTAAAACCCTGAAGCAGCTCACAGATATTAGGGGCCAGAATAAGCTTACTTTGGTACTAACTGTAGGACTATCTATGTTAAGGTCAACATAACTATTAAGTATAATGGTCAACATAATTATTAAATATAATAATAACTATTATTATACTTACAATTATAATGATTATCGTTACACTAATAACAATTACAAATAACTAAAAAGTACATGAAAACCTAGTCAGGGAAGTGGGCTTTCAGATGCAAAGGAGTGAAAGGATTACGGAAGCGGCACTGTGGAGAATCTGCATTAAAGTTTTATTCATGTCTTTGCTTTGGGATTGGTGGGCAGGAGAATCTACATGCCAAACAATACTTTTAGAGAGAACACCTGAAGACTCAAGTCACATAAAGGGATAATGAATGTTAAATTTACAGGTTATCAAGGCTGGATGGAGAAAGTCCTCAAATGTGAAAATTCTGATCATCTGAAAAGAATTCCTGGGAGGACAGGAACTTAGCCTCAAAGTCTGTTACAGGTAAATTGGTGCAAAGAATTATTGGGAAATTACTAGGCATACAGAAGGACAAGCCTTGCTGTGGAAGCATGAGTATGGCTTGTCCAAAGGAAAATCCTACCTCACAAAGCATTATAAGTTCTTTGTGAGAATCAATGTAACAGCCAGTAGATACTGTGTACCTGGAACCTTCAAAAAGCCTCACCAAGGGTTTCTGATGAGATATGGCAGTCATAAGGTGAGATGATGGGTCCTCTTGTGGATGGGGAACTGGTTTTCAATGAGAAGCAGGAATAGGAATAAATGAACAGTTCTCATGACTGAGAAAAGTAAGTGGTGGGTCCCCCAAAGCATCTGTATTGGGACCAGTGCTACTTAATTTAGTGATGGCTAATTAGGTAAGAGGATTTTGAGTTGTGCTCAGGGAAAATGTCCACTCAATGCATGGCAATGCTGCAAAAGGCAAATGACATGCTAGTAAAGGGACTGAAAATAAAGCTACAAGCAAGGCAAGGTCTTAGCATCCTATCATCTTACTAGTCATCTATGGTGTGACCATATTTTGGAATACAATCAACAGCTCTGCTTACTCCTTTTTATAGAAAGGGTGCCAAAGAGCTATAAATGCACAAAAAGTCAACCAGAATAACCAGGGTACTGAAATAAAATTGAGGGGAAAAATGAAGACCTGTTCTCTCCTGCAGAGTTGGGCAGGACACATTCCAGCGGAGCCAAGCTCAGGGAACCAAGGTTCAATTTGAATGTCAGGAAGTACTTCCTGATAGTTAGGACCCCAAGGACATGGAAGGTGCTTCCACGGGAGGTGGTTGAGGCCCCATCAGTGCGGGTGTTCAAGGATAGGCTGGACATGGACATGGTAGGGATGTCATGAGTGGAGCCAGCTGGAGCTGGGGGTCAGACTAGATGGCCCAGGAGACCCCTTCTGACTTGCTCAGTTTTTATGTTTCTATGAAGGCTGAAAAAATTATACCTGAAATTCTCCATACTTATAGTACTGGATTTCAGCATCATGCAATGGATTTCAGTAGTGGCACATTCTACACAGACAAAAGGAAGTATTTATTCCCACAAGCCCTCAGTCATTTATGGAATTCACTGCCACAAGATGTGGCAAAAGCCATTTGGATGGCTTTAAAATGGGATTAGACTAGCAGTAAGTTCTGACAAGTTCATGAAGGCCCTATTTATTAAAGGCTCTTAGCCATCGTGGTTCTATGGAGCCTTCAGATTCAAAGGATCTGTATCACTAAATTATTGCTGCTGAAGTACAACAGGGGTATTCTGTTTATGCTACAGGGATGGGCCTCCTGGAGGCATCTGTCCGGCTGCTTCGTCAAATAGAATTCTGGAGCAGATAGACCTTTTGTCCAACTGAGCAAGGCTCATTCTGTGTTCGTACAACCCTTTAAATGTCTCGGCTTTGTACACTGAGTCTCATGACTTTCAGTGCCTTCCCGGGGCAGTAACTGTTCAGCTGACTTCACTGTAATTGTTGCCTGCTTGAGAAGGGATCTGCAGAGTCTATGCAGAATTAATATATCCAGAGCTAATCCTGCTCAACCAAAAGCAAGGAAGAAGGAAACCCCCACCAGTATAATGTCTGTGCTTTGTTTTGCGTTCTGCTGATGAATTAGCGGCTTTTCTGTTTACATGGACCAGTGAATTGTATGCTTCTTTATAGTACCGCAGCTGTGTGATCCTATTGCTATCAATTGGACCTTGGTATACAGCAACTTTCCAAGTTCAAAAGTCAACCAATTCATCTGAAGCAAGCTTATGAAACCTGATCCAGACCCTATTCAAATACTTAGATTAAATCAATATTTTGTAAAATATACATTGAGAATCTGCTGTCTAAAAGAACAACGGTAAAGAGAATACACAAAAATACTTTTCCAAAATCTGTGTGGAATAGAATTTTTTACTGCTTCATTTGTCAGGATTTCTTTTCAGTAAGTAGCAATGTCAACCTGCAATTTTACAAAAATTCAAGAATACTTTTTAAAATAGCAAAGCGCACAAACCATGGGATAGCGACCACAATCCCCAGTCAAAGGTGGTGGCAAGTTCTATTCACTCTATTCAGTCTAACATTAGGGGCTGTTTCGTACGACCAAGACAAACTGTATGTGTGGAGTTCCTGTCCGAACTGATGGGAGAACTAACAGTCACGTTCACAGAGCCATGTGGGACTGCAAAAATCCCTGGAATGCGGTATACTTAATTCCAGATTGTTTGTTTCAGATGCAGCTCATATTCTTGTTTTAGATTATTAACATACAGCACCAATACTTTTCTAAGACAGTAAAGCGTTTTGGGCTTTGCCTTGGAGACGACAGCAAAGCTTTCATAGACATGAAAGACTAGAGTAAGCTGTGTACATTTCAGAGAGTTATTTGAACTCAAGTTCCAACCTTGTCTGCGCTCGTACATGCTTCCCATTGTTTATCTGTAACAAGCTCAAGGCAAACAGTAAACCAAGAGCTGCTACTATCTAGAAGTCTCTGGTGGTGAAATATTCAAATTGCACAAATGAAGCCAACAAAGACTGGGCTATATGTCTCAAGTATATTAGCTTTACCTTGCGAACATCTCCTGCTTTTTATACCGATTTAAGTAGGGCTCTCGGAACAAAGGGGCAAAGAAAAACTGGGTATAAAAATGCCAAAATTTTTGGTGATTTCCTGCAATTTTAATGCTGTCTATAAACATCTCAAGCCGATTGGAGGTTTGGGAATATTTTCACCAGATCCACAAAAAGCCAGAGGCAGGGGAAAAATCAATAGGATGAGGAAGCTATTGCACAATTCAGCTGATAGCACATGCAATGAGTAACGAGAATTCGGAGCTGAAATATCGGCTGGGTTCAGATTACACACTGCTGCTCATGGTGGGTTGTTTAATTCACCATGAGCTGCTGTGTGCGTGGGCACCACGTTGCAAAGGAAACCCCCCACTCATGGTTTGTCACGTGAGCCTGGCAAGTGTGGGTTATATGACGGTCATGTAACCCTCGCAGAATCATCATTCCACATGACGAGCAGGTGTTATGTAGGGCTGAAACAGCCCTTGCAAAACCCGAAAGCAGAACCTGCGCTTGCAATGTGCAGCAATGATTCAGAACGGGAAGAGTTACTGGGTTTCAAGGTGCTGGGGTGGGCACCACTTTCCACAGCCAAACCTTTCCATAACTCATACTCTATTCCTGGGTTATGTGAGGGTTAATTAACCCTCACATAACCCATGCTTGCCAACCCCCATGTGTGAACAGCATATTCAAGATGGGGACCACACATCCCCTGCAGTCTCATTATTTTAGGATGCAGAACATGATGAGAGCAAGCCAGTTATGGAAAACATCCACATGTGATGTAGAATTATTCAGGCTTTTACTGTGAAAATCATATGTCTGGTATTTTTAGATAAATTCCATAAACACACAAAGTTGGCATGTGGTTCTCAGAAAATATCCACAGAAATTAAGATGCAGGGTTCACCCATTCTGCAATTATCAGAATTAAAAATACACAATGTTTTTAGAATGATAACTCTTGATAAAAATCAAGCATTAATGACCACATTATAAACCTATACAGAATAATATGAACATGCTAGTCGTCCTGCAGATGAATTCCTTAAAATATTGACTTGATTTTATTCCCTACCTTGTGCTGAGGTGTTCATGAATTAAGCAATTTCATTTTCATACTGTCCAACAGCCAAAGGCTTTCTGGGTGATTAACCCTATCCACTAATATTCTATACTCCAGACTCTCTCCGAATTCACACACAGCTGTGCATACACTTTTGTGTAAACTCTTACTTTCAAACAGGACACTCCCCAAAGGGCAATTGGTGCGACGGAGTAAGGATCGTCCGAACTTACCTGTCCGTAGTTCTGCAGAGAAGCTCGAGCTTGGTTGCCACGTGGGGGCAGCTGCGAGGTCGCTGTTTCACCGAGGGCGAGAGTCTGGTTGCTGTGGTAGCTGGAGGAGTACTGGAAGGACCCTTCGGGCTTGGAGTTGAGCTGAAGTGCGCTCTGGGACAGAAGGTTGGGCCCTGTGTGGAAAGGAGTTTGTAGCGGTCAGCGAGTGCCTCCGTGCAGGAGGAAAGGCACATGCGTAGCACAAGTAGCCGGGAACGAGCGACTGCGTGGGGCCTTGCTTTTTGCACCGGGTCCTTTCAGCAGTGGCGCCGACCAGCGGCACTGGAAATGGCACTTGGTCGGTTGAGCGCCGCCATTTTGCCGTTCTCAAGAAGAACCCAGAACTCTGTTTAAGATAATGGAGGGTGTCTCGTGGCTGTGCATGTGTAGGAAGTCCAAAATGGTGAAATAAAATATATCGTAGGGCAGAGCTAAATGTTATAAAACACACAGGGCTGCTGTTAAAAAGAAGCGGACCTGTATCAATTTATCTCTTCCGTCTCCATATTCTGTTACAATTGTACTGTGCTTTCTACATTTCGGGCATTATTTATTTATTAGATTTATATCCAGCTTTTAAAGTCTTACAATGAACTCAAAGCAGCTTACACCATTCTCCTGTTGCTCTCCATCTTATCCCTACAACAACCCTGTAAGGTAGCTTGGGCTGAGAGTCTGTGGCTGGCCCAAAGTCATCCAATGGGCTCCATGGCTAAGCAAGGACTAGAACCCGGATCACCCGAGTCTGAGTCCTGCACTCTTAACCATTACACCACACTGCCTCACAGTATTATAAAGTTGTACCATATTTTCCCATCCCAGCAGTCAATGTGGAGGGGGGATATACCCAGTATGACACTAGGGACAGTAGTACAGAAGAGCAGAAGAAAAGTTGATGTGGAATAGACCTATTTATCACGTAACATGTAAGAGTTTTGTGTCTTTCTGCAGTTTGTTTTTAAACAAACACTGTATAAACTGCTCTAAAAAAAAACATTCCACCTTTTCTTTTGTCATTTTGTTTCCTAAATCAAGTTGCTGAGTAGACAAATGCTGAAAAGTTATTCATGCAACATCTAAGCCCTTCCATGAATTCACTGGGACTTCTGCAATTTCTTTTTCTTCCAGTGCTTATACATGGCACTTTGTGTAGGCTCAGAAAATTATTGATCTCCCAAGAAGTTTATTCCTTCAGTTACAAATATTCTCATCAGTTAACAGAAAATACCACTGCTCAAATGGACAAATGAGCACTAATATTCTCCTATTTAAAGTCATATTTTGAAAAAACCCAAAACATAAATTTATTTATTTTATTTATTCTTATTTAAACTTTTTATATGCCACCCAATACTAAAGTCTCTGGATGGCTTACAAAAAAGCCAAAAAACAAAACAACCACGTACAACAAACAACACACTGCATCCAACCGTTATATCTAAATCTCAGTCCATTATATCTGAAGCTAAATCCAAGTGTGGATGAAATGTTATGTTGTTACCAAAAGGGCACTCTCTAGATCAAGTTCTCCATCTCTCTCCCATCACCTGTGTCGAGGTTGGAATTCAACATGTACACAACCCACACTAAAGTCCTTTATTGCTACTTGTCTACAAGATTACAACTCTACAGATAAGCTCTTCTGTTGAGGTCTTTGGAATGCAGATGCTAATCCTCTAGTAGTGTCTCCCCCTTGGGACTAGCTCTCCTGGCCCCGCCTTGCTTCTCTCTGGCGTAACAGGCGTGTTTTTGTTCCCACCTCCTCAGAGTTCTGAGATTGGATGCTAGGGAAAAGTCCCCTGTGTCTCCTGTGTCATGTTCAGGAAGTTCAGCATCAGTGGGAGGAGGGACAGCCTGCTCTGACTCCTTCTGAGCAGAACTCATAGTGCCTTTTTCCTCGGGGCCCTCTTGCTTTGATGTGGGCTCGGGTGTTTGCTCAACGAGTGTGGAGTCAGGGGGAGGGACAGCTATCTGCTCAGCCACCCCCAAGCTAGGTTGTGGGGTTGGCATTGGGGTACAGGGTCCCAAGCACAAGACCTCCTCGTGAGGTGCTGCCTCAGTCGGGGCTTCAGGCACTACAACCTGTGTGATCTGTTATCTTGTTACACGATGACATCCTCAGAGTATACATTTTCCTATCTTACCATCGGATACTGGTAGGAGCAGGGAAACGCACTGCAAGCGACGAAGGATCCCGCAGAGAATAAGGGAGAGCTTGGGAAAGTGATGTGGCTAAATGTAGGTCTGCCCTGGCAGAGGAAGAGCCACGAGCCTTGGAATACACACACCCCAGTTCCTTGCATCCAGAAGTTTCCCATTTAATTCAAATGATGGGTCCAGTCTACACATATGAAATGCACACATGGATTTGATCCCTGTGTTGAAACAATTAGGGAAATTCTTGCAAACAGTAAAGTTCCAGATGTGCATCTAAAAGTTTCTGAGCCCTTAAAGGTCCCTGAAGTGGGGTGGGGGGGAAATGTGCCTAAAATGTGGCACTTTTTGAAATACAGTGTTTATATACAGGCCCGACAGAACCTATTTCCAGCTGTTCTTGCAATACCATTTATGCATCTTTATTTGCATTGTATTGAATAGGAAGCATGGTGGAACAATACCAGGAAAAAACAAAAAAAAAGCAAACTGATGTATATCAACATCAGTTTCCATGGCATATTTGTAGGTCTGACAAAAAAAGAAAATAAAGTTTTGATATTCAGAGTTAGCAAGGAAAAAAAAAACTAGGTAGAATAGCAAACTGAAAAAAAAAATCTAAACAGCCTCAATACAATAAAGTGAACTAAGGAACTAGTGAAAATCAACATCTTGTTGTTTCTCACAGCAAAACCTGCTATATATGTAATTTTTAACATAATATAACCTTAAGAATGCAACATAACCTCACGAAAATTCATGCCTTGGATTGCATCCCACCCAATGTACTCATGGCCAATTTCTTCTTTGAAGAGGAGAATTTTGCCAGCAGAAAGCTAATGTACAGGTCTCTTGAAAGTGAAGCTGGGAGTTAGAGACCCTAACCTCGTTTGCACGGCACACTTAGCCAGAGCAGGTTATGAGCCGTGTCCGTTGAGCACGATGCGCAAACCAGCGCTGTGGCACCAGCGTGCGTGGTTGGTTGCCCACCGACAAGCCCCACTGGGGACCCACAGCTTGCGGCTGGCTTTTCTCGCACCGTGACTCGTCTGAGAAGGGGCTAGAAGGCCCATCACCGTGCTGCTCCTTGTGATCTGAGCGCTTCACTGCCCCCTGCCTGCCCCTTTCCCTCTCCCTTTGCCTCACTCCCAAAACTTTGCCAAAAAAATGGCATTGCAGAAGTACCTGGATACTCAAAAAAGCCTTTAATTTTTTTTGTGCACATTTTTTTTTGTGCACATTTGGCTGCCTTCTATTTACGTTTTATTCTTAGTAAAGCAGACGGCACACCAATATTTTCCTCTCCCTTTCCGACATCTTGAAACAACACTTGAGAATTACCCCCTCCACTTCAGCATTTTCCCACACAAGGATCCTCCCTTTTTATCATTTCCCTTTGTGCACATCCATAGGTTCAAATGGCCACTTCAGGGCAGGGTTTTTTTAAAACTTTTTTATTTCCATGCTGGCTTAGAACAGTGGTGTGGAAAATGCGCCCCTTCCGAAATCAGCTTTACTGACTTCCGTAGTAATTATACCCATCCCCATCTTTCCATCACCATTTTTAGCTCCTCCACTCCACCTCCCTGCTTCTTGGGCAGGTGGGAAGGAGAGTTGAAAGCGGCAACTGAAGGCACTTTTGGGATAGATATAATTACTGCAGGAGTTTGTGAAACTAATTTCTACCAGGTAAATCTACAAAACAGCTCTTCTAAGTAAGCATGGAAATAAAAAGGACTATGTGCACGGAAGCAAGACTTGTGCAAGTGTGGCAGGACAAAACAAGAATTTAGGAAGGGGATCACTGTTGGGGAAGCACCTAAGTGGGGGTAAAGGTAAACGTTTCCCCTTGACATTAAGTCCAGTCATGCCTGACTCCAGGGGGCGGTGCTCATCTCCGTTTCCTAGCCAAGGGAGCCAGCGTTTGTCCACAGACAGTCTCCGTGCTCATGTGGCCGGCATGACTAAACACCGAGGTGCACGGAACGCGGTTACCTGCCCACTGAAGTGGTACCTTTTCATCTACTTGCATTTGCATGCTTTCGAACTGCAAGGCTGGCAGAAGCTGGGACGGAGCAACGGGAACTCACCCTGTTGTGCAGATTCAAACCAGCGACCTTTCGATCTACCAGCCCAGCAGCACAGCGGATTAAACCACTGCGCCACCTGCAGTCCCGAGTGGGGGAGAGAATGTCAAAACACAGAAAAGGGCAGTGGGGTATCAAGCTGGGTGGCAAAATCCCCCCTCCTCCAAAGAGCTGCCAGTGGCAGAATAGGTGGGAGGACTGGTGAAGGACTAACAGAGACCCAAGTCTTGGCAAACTGTGGCGTGCCTGATCGTCTGTCAGGAGTAACGTGGTTTTGCAAACACGCCACCAAGCCCTGCAGCTTATTCCACCGTGGCTTTTCATGATGTGCAGACACACTCTGTCTCAGCAGATAGTTGAGCTTCCAGTTCTTTTCTACCTCACATACGAAGGTGCCGATGCAGTTTTATTTATGAAGGATAATGATGTGATGACATATTCATTCCAAAAAAAACCTCTAGGCTATATCAAGGACCCAAAAAGAAAGAAAAACCTGGATGAAAGAAAAGATTCACTGCACAATAATGCAACTGGTGATGAGTTACAAATCAAGAAACTACACAGTGCAAGAAGGATAAGAAAGAACAAGCAACATGTGCCCACATCAGATGAAAAACGGTATTTTAATTTCAAGTAATCACAGTTGCCTTAATTATACTAATGTAAAGAAGAAAAGCGGGGTGGGGGCGGGGGTTAGGTCTGCAATCTGATTTCAGTCAATCGTGAGTTTCAGACACATTTAGTTAACAGGACTTGCTTCTGGATAAACTTGCATCAACTAAACTCACGAATGAATCTGCATATTGGTAAAATCAACTTTTCTGAAGAAAGTGCTGTGTTTCCACAATATGCACACACACATCACAACAAGCATCATTTTAGAAGAGGCACTG